AATTCTCTATAACTGTATAGAACATTGTACAGTATCATACAGAGGGGGACAAAATTGGGTATGTAGTAGGGACGCAATACCAGTGTACTTGACTCATGAAAATGCCCCAAAACTAAACACAGATATTGGTACTTTCAATTTTTAAACTGAAGTGTCTGCCTAAGGTCCCGCTCTTGCCGCCTGTTTACAGCACCGGTCGAACATCTCCTCCTCCTTCCCGGTGAACTCCACTGCCTGGACCTTTTGGACCCCGCACAGCCCACCGGAGACACTGCAGGCCTGGTTGTGTGCACACCCTAATGCAATAGGCTGCCTATGTTTAAATTCCTTCCATAAAAGAACACAGTACACTTCCGATGCTTAAAATGAATGTATTAAATGTATTTTGCATCACTAAGCACACACTGTTTTGTCCACCTATCTTCAGCCCATTGGACCTCTTAGAAAGAAGCTTTGGTAAGAAATGACCTGATGGTCTAAAAAAAATCAATAGAATGTCTCAAAGTCAAATGGAGTAAACTTGTATCCGCTGCCAGTATAAAATTTGTTCTGAAACTCCACCCTGCACAGGAGACAAATAATGATACATTAATGATTGAGAAATTAAATAGCTTTTAATAAATATTTTTTTTCTTTCTTCGGATGACTAATAAAGCTTTAAAGATCATGTGCACTCTTCTTCCCTGACCTAAATGACCCCCCCCCCCCCCCCATAGATCTGTACATCACCTTTATGCTTTTCCTGCACACAGCTCCTAGACAGGTCTTCTGGCTAGTCTGGAGACATTTTTATATACTGGCTGTTTATGTCCTGCTGTGACCCTTTTAAAGTCACAGCAGGACATAAACTAGCATCCTCCCATGACCCAAAGCTCAGTATATCGCGAGCTACAACTTGCAGTATACTGAGACCACCGCAGCCGGGACGGATCCCGACATTACTGTCGAGATCTACCCAGCTCTGTGAGTGAAAGCTGGCTCTGCCTATCTAGAGGCAGAGCCAGCTGTACCCGCCCCCTCCCCCAGGTCAGTGCTGGAGGATCGGAGCGGGGGGAATCCCTGTGGGGAGCGGTGACCAATGACCGCTCGCCATTGCAAGCATTATGTTGCAACACAGCCTCCGGGGCTGTAAAGTGAACTCTTGAAGTGTGTGGACCAATACATCAGCTGATGCAGGTGGAAGGAGATGTCGATTATGGTAGCTAAGTGCAGCAGGGATGGGGAGGTTGTTGTCATTTCGGGTCGGCGTGTAACCACGTACTTGCATAAGGCGGTACAGGCAGCTGCATGCAATTACACACAGCACCTACCAGTCCCAGAAGCAGGTCTCGGCATGCCATACAGATGTGCACACGCTTGTGAATGAGCCCTAAATCTGGTCCTTTGTTACAGGGTGACAACAATTGATCAGATTTTTGGTTAATAGCTCTCATCAGTGGCTTTTCAGCCACTGATTACCGTTATTATTTTAAAGTGGACCGTCAGGAGGACTGTTCCGATATAAAACGGTCCTCCTGACAGTCGCTTATAGCAGAAGGGAGAAAGCCACCGACGTATGGCATACTGACTTGGCCAGATGGAATCCGTTGTGTTCCGCCGTAAGCCTTTTGTTGGTGGCAGCGAAAAGGTGAAAGAGTTCCGGGAAAACATATTAACCCTTGCAGTACGGGGGTCATATGCTTGATTTGGGGTCTAAAATAAGAAAGTGATACTCACCCAGATCCTCCAAGCCAGCCAGCTCTACCTTCAGCTCGTCTCCTCCACTGCAGTGATGGTACATCCCTCAGCGTCCTCATGTCTTATACACTATGTATAGAACACTATGACTCGGAGGGACCTTACACCGATCCCTGAACCCTCTCTCCCCCTCCGCTGCAGCATTCTAAGAATATGCCAGCTCGGAGGATCGGGCAAGCATAAACTTGTTATTTTTGACCCTAAGCAAAACAGGCACTTGACCCTTGCAGTGTGGAGGTAGCCCCACTGCAAGGGTTAATAAAAGTTTTACCCGACATTCTACAGGGATCCCAACCTGAAAAAAAGTCATTTCAGGGAGGTGCCCTCCTCGTTTCAGGGAGGTGCCCTCTCTTGGGGAGAGGGCACCTCCCTAAAATGATGGCAGATAGCAGGGGAGCCAATGCTGCCCTTGCTGTTCTTTTTGTATTCTGGCAGCTCCTGCCGTAAAAAAAAAACCCAGCAACAACAGACAGCATGGGAATGAATAGCTAGGCTGTTATTGGCTATTTCAATTTGCAATAGCAGGCTGGCTGTTGCACCTGTCCACTGCTGCTGTCAAGCAGCAGAGGAGGACCTGAAGGAGAACTTCAAGACCATGCCTGCTGATTGACAGCAGCAGTGGGCAGGTACAAAAGCCAGCCTGCTATTGGCTATTACCAATTGAAAATAGCAAATAACAGCCTAGCTATTCATTCCCATGCTGTTTTTTTATTTTATTTTTACTTTGATGGCGGTCGGCGGCCCCGCCGTCACAAAAAAAAGCCACAGATAGCAGGGAACAGTTTACTCTGCTAGATAAAGCAGAGAAAACCTTTATGGAATAAAATGTTTCCCTTGTGGGCATTCGGGAGCCACTACCTTATAGCGGGAGACTCCCTGAACATCCGGGAGAGTTAAGATGTCTGATTCTGGGTGGACGTACCTTGTAAGAGCCATTTTCTAATTGAAGGAAAGACACGTTTACACTTTACTACCAAAAAAAAAAGAAATTAATTTGTATTTACCAGTGCAGACGGAGGGCATGTAGAAAGGCTGAGAGACCCTCCATGATGAGCAGAATAGCCACCGTCAGCACCGCGAAAAATGCAAAAACGGGCACAATGACGATACTCCAAACACGAGTGTAGTTGCTGAAAGCAGCATGCATGACCATGTGCCATAAGACTTCAGAAAGTTCTGCAGAGAGGAGAAAGAAGAATCAGGGAAGTCCAGCTGGGTTTTGTAGGTCAACCATTTCACTGCCAGAGAAATGTTTGTGTGTATTGCACATTTTAGGCCTGAAGATTATTTCCTTTTTTTTAAAAAATATTATACTTACTTTTTTTTTTCTGAAGGCTCCTGACCAGTCATATGACATGCTAGGTCCTCTTCTTCAGTGACGGGCAGTTTTGCTTGGCTATACTATAAATCACGGATCAGTAAATGGCATACTGTGGTCTGGACAAGGCCCGAGTGGCGGTTCTGTACGGACCTCAATTGCCCACCTGTGCTAGGTTATAGCTTGCCGACAGTGGATGCTCTGGCCTATGAGGCCGGTGCATATAGTGCCAGCCATAACCGAGTGCAGGCCCCTTCCTCCTCTTTAATTATTGGTTGCTGGCAGTCCTAGAAAGCATTGATGTCAAGTGTGTGCCCCTGCCCCCAGCATTACAGGAGGACAGAAGTGAAATGTCTTCCGTCCTCACCTGCAGTCTGCTCCAAGTCCCTCTGCCTACTGAGTAAACATATGTTGGGACAATAATGTAAAGGGGCACTCTAAAGGGGGCAACCAATGTAAGGGAGAAACTAATGTAAGAAACAATGAGGTGACAAGAGTCGAACGTCTGCATGCAGAATATTTTTACTCGCTGGACCACCTTGTATTTTAATTCAATACCCCTGCTATAAATGAATGGCACTGCTGGGTGCCATTCAACCCAAAGACTGAGGACATCTTGTGGTGGAATAGAAGAACTGCAATAGACAATTCAATAAACGGGAGTATTGCAGCCTTAGCTGCTTTTAATTTTTCTCTACCCTGCCTGGAGGCCAAATATAAAGAAAACATGTAATTGGCCTTTAGAAAAATAAATATATATATATATTTACGTGCATGAGCCAGACTCAGCGCCCAGAGTCGTAGGTAGGATGCTGTGTTAGAGATGCAGCCCAGACAGTACTCTATGGTATGAATCATTTGGTGCAGGAACACTTCAGAAGTATCAAACTGTAATAAGGAAGAAACAGATTGGTTAGTGTAAGAAAATGATCTTTAGGTCACCCCACTTCCACATCTCTGACACCTGGTGCTTAAGCTAGAACTCCAGTATCAGCTGTTTTGGTCCATTCTGCTTCAGGGGATTGGTGAAAAAAAATGTGCTACCCTTCCATAAAAATGAAGGCACCTGTTCTGGAGGAGAAAATTGATGGCATAGCAGCAGACACACTTTCTGACCGTATGATGCCCATGCTCCTATAAAGATATACCGCCAGGGCTTCAGAGATTGTCATTCACTGCTGCTGTGCCTATGACGTGCACACAACTTCCATAGAGCCAGTTTCATCTGGATGAGAAAGAGCTTACCTCCTCCCTGTGCACACTAAAGGACCTCCACTGCTGCTGGAAGTGTACTGTGTAAAGCTGTTTTAGCTTAGATAGGCATGATGCCTGCAAAATGCCAGTCACTGTTGCAGTGGGTATTATTCCAGTACACAGACTCCTCCCAGCAGCCAGTGCACAGCAGGAAAACAATAAAAATAAATCAAGGATCACATTCCTTTTACGGACCAGACTTTCAAATGCCATTAGCGATAATTACCTCTTCACCACCATGTTTGTCTTTGTCCTTATGGTCTGAAAAGTCAACGGAGTGGCTCTCTTCGTGGTTCTCCTCATCCGCCAGTAGACCGCTCCTTTCGCCATTTATTAAGCCCTGCAAAACAAGGAACAATTAACCCTTTCATGAGTGGAGGGCATAGGTGCCAAGCCACATTTAGCTTTAGTGTCAGCATAAGTCAAGTAAACTACAACCAAGTGGCATTGTAGCAGTCAGTGGCCAGTACCAGTAGATCTACCGTAGGTCAATAAATATACTACAGGGCACACTTATAAATCAGTGAATGTGACATTCATTAAACATTCTCTGCAGGCGAAACTTCCCGATGCATGCATTTTAACTTAACCCTTGCAGTGGGGCTATCCCCCACAGTGCAAGGTTTAAGAGCTTCTTTTGTCTAGGAAGCTAAAATAAAGTCCCGGCTGGCTCCTACACCGCTCCCTCCAGCCTGTCTCCTCCTCCGCTCAGTGGTGAAATGTCTCTTGGCGTCCTCCCGTTTTATTCACTGTATAGAATGTGATGAGTCACAGGACCTTAGACGGCTGGAGGGGAGGGAGAGAGAGACTGAAGGGGCTGATCTAAGAGCCAGCTGAGATCGTGGTTTGGATTAGTACAACTGTTATTTCAGCTCCCTAGACAAAAAGAACACTTAAACCTTGCAGTGCAGGGGTAGCCCCAAAGCAAGCGTTAAGATTTGTTTTGTCTCAGGTGTTTCCTATTCTCTTTAGCTCCATCTAGTGGCCATGATGTGGTATTACATTAGACTTGAAAAGTAAATACACTAAGAATGTTCATCTTTGCCTCTATCCAAACAGAACACACACTTACAGAGCCTTGCAGGGCAAATAGCTCTGCCAGTTGTTTATAGATAGACCCCCCAAGTATCTTACCTGCCCAATTTGTTGCCTCGCTCTTTTTTTCTTACGGTGCTGGAAGTATTGATAAAGTGGATCTCCAAACAGCAAAATTGGTATACACGCCACAGCAACAATCACCAGAGACTTCTGTACATTTACCTACATGAGAACAGAAGAATTATATAAACATTATGTGAAGTGCAATGACCCTGCCTTGTGTTTGAGCGCCAATTTGTCTTTTAAAGTGCACCGGTCATTCGCAATTGGGTAATGCTGTTCTAAAAAAGGGTAGTGGAGGCAGAAATCATACATAGCTTCCCCAGATAAAACTGAACTCCAGGCAAACCACTAAATACACAGATGAAAGGAGAAGCAGCACACTGATTAGCTCATCTCTCTCCATTGTTTGAGCAGAAGGATGATCTCATCATTCTGTGGCTGCTCCTTCACTCCTTCGACACGTCAGATTCACCTAGATGAGAATTAAGGAAAGGGGGGATGCACTCTAAGGGTTAAGTGCTTGTTTTGGTCTAGGGAACGGACTATATAAGATATTCATCTGATCCTCGGTCCCGGCTCCTAGACTGGTTCCTTCAGCCGGTCTCCCCCTTCTCTCTAGCAATGGCACGTCCCTCGGTGTCCTCACGTCCTATACATTGAATAGGACGTGATGACCCAGAGGACCTCAGACCGCCGGAGTGGAGAAGACAGGATGGAGGGACCGGTTTAGGAGCCAGCTGGGATTGTGGTTCAGGTAAGGTATTTTAGCTCCCTAGGCAAAATGAGCATTTAACCCTTGCAGTGCAAGGATAGCACTGGTGAAGTGCAATGGTGAGTGCAATGGTGAAGATTTTATTTGCCTGGAGTTCTTCTCAAAGGATGATTATTATATTGAAGTTCATTAAGTCCACATTCATCAATATTGCAAGTTTCATATAATTAAAACTTGCCACATGGTCAGAAAATCTGATTAAAACTCACGTACAGTATTCTATATGTTACCAATCGTTTGTGTTTTGAAATCAATG